CCCTACCCAGTCCCATCTGACGTAATGTTTTGGCAACAACCAGGCAAGCCGGACCAAAGTCCAGGGTAAGTGACTCGTGAGCTGTGTGACTACATGTACTATTAACTATTAAATTAAAGAGATCAGTTAGTGTGCAAGATAATGGTAAAGTAGCCTTACTTATTTATCTATCTATTTATCTATCTGTTTATTCATCAATGTACCTATTTGCTGATTAATTCGTGAGACTACATTGTATTATTAAATAGATCAGTTCAACTTCAAGACTAGAATCTATGTTCAGGCAGCATGCGAGACCCTTAAAGTAAACTAAGCCCTCATATTGTCCTATTGATTGTTTATAAATATTTTCTGGCCCTGATCTAAACAATTTAGAGGCCCGGCTGTTTAAACCTCGTCTGTCATGAGCAAACCGGGTAGAAACGGATGCAATATCCCATCAGAAAGAAGGGTATATTCTATGAAATGATTTCCCCTCCTGGATTATAGAATCATAGAACCATAGGCCACGACCAAAGGTAACTTAATATCTTTTGGTATCAGCAGGCCCATTTACGCAGGTCCATTGCGATCTGTATTTATGTTAGCTAGAGACCATTTGTAGTTCGTTTTAACGTGTTTTACCATCTTCAAGGTCTAAGTAAGGACATAAGCCCCCATGCCTCTTTTTAAAATGTGGGCATTAACCATGAGGTCTTGAAATCCAAGATGGCCGCCAAATGGCAAAAATCGATATTACTCAATGTCTTTTTCCAACACATATGAAGTGTGATACATTACTTATGGATTTTTTTAGGTCAAGAAGTTCATTTTTGGTGTCATTTTTAGCCTTTCGTAAAATACAAGTGCAAAACATCCAATTTGGCCGCCATCGTCCGTACTATACACCCAGTTGTAGCACATCAACAGATATCCAGCGGGTAAAATTTCGCACCTCAGATAGAAGTGGAAGTTTTTATGTTATTTTTAAAAAATCCTTTCAGAAATAATTCTCTTACATCATGTAAGTGTCCTGTCGGAGATAGGAATCTCAATACCTGATCGCTCTCAAAAGCAATCTCTTGCACGTCTTGAGGGACATAAAAAAAATGCAACCAGAGACCAAAACCAAAACAAACTTGACACTGTTGTTCTTGGCGCCATAGCAGCAGAGTGAGGGGTGACCGGGGGGGGTGGAGACACACACAACTGAGGCGTATCAAGGGAGACAATACACAAGTCACATGTGGGTTATCGTTCCTGAGTCTCTTTGACTCTTGAGGCAATCTCATGGCTTAGAATGGCTGCTCTGAAAGGCTTTTCGCGATCTGTCTGTTGATCTTTCTGAATGCCGGACTGGATAGAGGACGTGTTGACCTACAGCCATTATGTGAACACCCAGTTCAATGAGTATACATTATATCAACAGATTGACAACCACCACGCTACCTCAGAATTACAAAGTTCTATCTGCTCAGTACCTAGTCTTGAGAAATTTGTTCTCAAAGATTTTGAGATTAAATTAACATAATATTATTATGTCAGCCTTTTTTCGAAAATAATTCGTTCAATATCTTGATTACGACTCCAAATAATGTTACGATTTTGATAGAGGTGACAGAACCTTCGGTTTCTGACCTCATGGTCTAAACAGCCAAACATGTCAGATAGAACTTTATAATTCTGAGGTAGCGGCTATGCAATCCTTCCCTTTGGTGGAACGTAGTAGTAGTAGTATAGGGTTTTACAGCGCTCACAACTGCTAAGGTCATATGAGCGCTTCGTGGAACGTAGAGATCGTTAACCGCTATGCAGCAATCCTTCTCTTTCGTGGAATGTGGTAAATCTACCAGCCCACGGTGGTTTGTGTAGTAGTAGATTGCGCGCTCGGCATATCTCGTGGAAGTCAGAGGTTCCAGTATCAGGGGATTCGAACTTGGGTTATCCAACAAGATACCACCTGAGCTAACCAATGTTTTGGCAACAACCAGGCTAGCCGGACCAAAGTCCAGGGTAAGAGACTCCTAGTCACGTTGAGAGATTACGTTTATTTTTAATACGATTTTACGGCATTTGCAACATAATGCCATATAAGTGCTGAAAAATACCCCTCGTAGATGGTACAAGAGAGTAACATACATAGAAAGGAGGAGAAACTTAATAAGGACGATAGATGATCGATAGCAAAGAAGGAGCAAACCACACCAGAGCACCCGCCAACCACCCACAGATAGCAAACTCTTTCTCCCTCGGATCCCTCTCTCTGCCTCCCCTCCATCCATCCCCTCTCTCTCTCTCTCTCTCTCTCTCTCTCTCTCTCTCTCTCGTCATGGGGTGTAAAATGCTCCCAGTCCTACCATCTGTCTGGTGAACGACACCGTTGGGAATAATTGCACTGCGTGACCCACAACGGATGATCTGTACGCCTTGTTAGGGTCATTTTGTCTCCCTCCGCCTCATCTCTGCTTTCTCTCTGTCACTTTATCAATCTCTCTCTCTCTCTCTCTCTCTCTCTCTCTC